GTCCATCAGGCGCCTAGACCATTTATGAAGATGTTAAAGAGCCCCAGTTCAAGCACGCTTCCCTCTATGTAGATGTAGCTCTTTATTGTGAATGTTCAAGTAGAAATTAGAGAGCCATTTGCCTGGGATGTTTTCATTTGGATTTTTTTTTGCACTGCACTCAGCCTAAGCCACTTTTTCCAACTGTGATTCTATTCTATGATTTGCTGTTCTCCAGTTGTCTGGCATTTTACCAATTCTGCAGAATTTTGGAACAATTCCCCTTAAAAATTATTTTCTGTTTGCTTGATTTAGAAAGATTAACTTGGTTGGTTTGGGGAAGAATAATTACAGATCTGGAAGAAGTCCTTACATGTCAATGAACGGTTCCAAATTCAAAATTACTGTATAAAGTGTGTTGCTATAAATGTGGGGTAAAAAAATCAGATTAAGATTTCTAATTATGTAATTGTACTATCTCAGTGAAACCTAAAGAAATATGTATTTTTTTTTAAAAAAAAATTAAATAGTAGCTTTTTTTTTGGTATTCTACTTTTCTGTAAGACTCCCTAGATAGTGGGAACTTGTCTGAAGCTTCCCAGTATGTTACAGAGCACAGCTTGAACCGAACTTTTATTATAACATCAGAACTGAAGCCTTTTTGCAACTATTTATTATCTCTGGCAGTAAGACTGATGCTCCACTTCTTGGATTTAATTCCGGTACCTTTTCCTAACATGTTTTCCTCATTATAAGGAAAAGCTCATGTTTCTAAGAAATCAGTATTAAATGAAAATGGTATGTTTAAATTTTGTGTATTCTTATCCCAGAAGACTTTAATTTCTAATATAGTTTCAATCTTTGGTCTTTGGATAGAATTAAATATAATTTATTGGAAAAACATCTATTCTTTTAGATATATTAATTGGATATAATTCCTAAAACAATGTAGGTAATGTGTATTTAAAACCAACACTTTGATTTGAAAGTGAAGTCCTTCATTCTTTTAGAGGTTTTCAGTGGCTAATCATATTATATCAATATATGGGACAGTAGTGGGTTTCAATTTAGTTTGCTACCAGTTCGTTCGTGCGTGCACGCTCATGCGTGCGCGCAATGCTTCTGCGCATATGCAGAAGTGTCTGGGTAGGTAGGCGGAGCCTCCCACCACCGCCACTACCAGTTCATCCAATCTGGGACTAACCGGTAGCAACCCACCACTGATATGGTAATATATTTGTTTTAGGACATTCCTATTTAGAATAGGCACATTCAAAGTATAATGATTAAAAAGACTGAATGAGAAGATAGAATTGCCAATCATTTGATACCACTTCTTTGCTCCTTCCTTTTCCATTACATAAAGAAATGGAAACAAAACTGAAGTTGCAGATTTGATTTCTGATCTTCCAGAATGTCAAAACACTTCATGAAAACATAATATGATTTAGGCAGGGCTGTCCCTCAGAATGTGTTTTTTAAAAAGTTAAGATGGTAGCCATGTTGATGCAATGAAAGCTTTGCCTGTTTTTTATACATATGTTTTTTTTATGTATGAGCGATATATATATATAAATAGGCAGAGCTTCAATTACACCATTGTGGTCATGATCTTGGTTATTTTTACTGCACTCTGGGGACACCCCTTTGGATCATTTGCTAAATTTCTCATTTTCTATCATACGGGCAGCAATCCAGTCTGAAGCAATTTACAGTAGTAGTTTGAATTAGGCAAAACTCAGCATATTCCCTGGCCACTGAATTGTCAAGCTTTTGATTTAGGAGAGGGATAAATTACTTATTAATAATGCTGATGCTAACTTATGGCATTTTATTTATCTGTTAAGCCAAGAGATAGATACAAAGAAATAAAAATTCAACACAATTTTTTTGGGGTGTGTGTATCTGTGCCTTTGAGTCAAGAGTTGACTCCTGGTGACTGTCTGGAGAGGTCCCTACAATTTTCTCAGCAAGGATTAGTGGAAGTGGTTTGGCCTTCCCTCGTTCTTTCTAAGGCTGACAGAGAGTGACTGACCCAAAGCCACCCAGTTGGTTTTGTGCCAAAGATCTCATGGTCTCCCAGTTTCTAGCCTGGTGCCTTAACCACTATACCAAACCGGCCCTCTCAGCGCAAATATGCATCAGTAAAGTATTTTTTTTCTTAAAAGTAATTTTTAAAAAAAATAGTAAGCTAAAGAAGTCAAGGCATGAAGTAAGAAAAAGGAAAAAGCAGTCTAGTTTAGATACTGACCTCCACCTTTCATCATGGCTTTGACGAGTTATGACTTTCACATAGTGTTTATGTATCAAATCACGTGCAGCATTCCCTGCTAATTATAAGGACAGCACTGGCCATTTTTGCTATATTTTAATGATGCAATCAAGAAGAAAAGTCAATGCCCATTTTTACCCTGTGAATACCCCAGGATCTCTAGAAATTAGGTTGCAAAACAATATTCATTTGTCATTGTTCCCACCAGTTAGGTCCGTGCAATGTATTTATACACACATAAAGTTGTGTGTTGGTCATATCCTATGAATGTGATCATACGCTAATGAACTTCTCTGGCATGATAACATCTCTGGGGTGGTTCCAGAGATAAATAGTTGCAGTTAGTTTATATTAAAATCTGCAAGTCAAGTTAATAATTTGAATTAATTCACACTGAATTTAATGGCACATAAAAACAAGTTCACTGGTTTGGAATCAACCTTTTATATGTAAATTGCATTTATATAGTAATTATGTACTGCATAGCATTCATCTTAAAATAACAATATCATTTTCAGAGCACTAAAAAGGCTTTAGGATTTAATAGAGTCATTGCTGTTCACATAGATAGTGTAAAGTTCACAAGACAACTGACTGCCCTTTAATCTGCATATTCAGTTGTGCAGTCTGTCCTTTCTCATCAGCTGGAGGTTACTTTCTTGCTATATCAGCATTATCTTCCAGCACTGTCTTTTGGGAAAACATTTTCTGTTCCTCATTAAGCTGAAAACAATTTGTTATGAAATGCATCATGGATGGTACAAAATGGTAATATTCATAAGCCACTCAGGTATTGGTATGTACAAAACAGAATAAAGCTTATTGATGTCTTTCTTAAATAATTAGAATAAAAGTAATTAAAATCAATAGAAAATACATATTTATTTATTAATTTAATACCTTTAGATTTGCTTTTCTACTACAAAATGATGGCCAAGATGGCTAGCAATAATGAAATTATAATAGCAATAGCACTTACATATATACCATTTCGCAGTGCTTTGCAGCCCTCTCTAAGCGGTTTACAGAGTCAGCATATTGCCCCCAACAATCTGGGTCCTCATTTTACCCACCTTGGAAGGATGGAAAGCTGAGTCAACCTTGAGGCACTGAGACTCGAACTGCCAAATTGCAGTCAGCCGGCAATCAGCAGAAGTAGCCTGCAGTACTGCACTCTAACCACTGTGCCATGTTGGCTCTTTCTTTAGTTATTATAACTTTGTATTCTTTAAAACACAAAAGCAACCATTTTAAAAACCAGTAAAACAGACATATTAGTGGTTAATGTTTATTTCAAGTGAAAAGTTGGTATGAATAAAACATTTTTTTCTGGTAGAAAAATAATATTTTTTTTGTTTGCTTTGGCTATTTTTTTTTATTTATAGAAAAGGAAGAACAATCAAGCATCTTTTAGTTGGAAGAACAATTCTGTATCTTCCAATTGATAAACAAAAAGCAGAAATCTGACTTCATAATTCTGCTGTTTTACGGGTCATATGACAATCCTCTTGAATCATTTGCATTGTTTATCAGGTTTAGAGGTTAAAATCTACGTTAAAAAAAAATATCCCTGGATCACGGGTATCTACTTACCTTCCCCACCGGTTCAGAAGTGCAAGTGCCACATGTGCAGAGGGTAAAAAACAGCTTACTTCCTGGTTAAAACCAGGAAGTAACAACAACCAGGCGGGTGGGCGGAGCCTTGCGCCGCCATCATTACCGGTTCTCTGAACCACCCGCCACCATCGCTACCGGTTCAGCCAAACCAGTCCAAACTGGTAGCATTTCACCCCTGCCCTGGATGTGTAATTTATTAATTTAATTTTACTTATTTCAACAATTTATGTGAATGCCCATGTTACTGTTTCCACTTTGGGTGTCTGACAGTAAATTAAACCAGAAGGTAGCTAATTAGCTCTAAATAAACAAGAACTTGCAACAACTATCAAAATATCAGTCAGTATATAAAGGTCCAAGTAAGTCCTTTCCTCCTGCAGTTGAGCCCCAGATAAACAAACTAATACTCTGGTCCAAATGCCCGTGTGAATAATCAGCCTTTTGGTACCTTATAAAAGGCCAATAAACTTCATTCTGATCTCCCATGGGTACAGCTCTAAAGGATAAACACTGCAACAGAAAAAAATAAAATGACTCTTATTTCATTATTTAAAGGATACATTTCCAAAGAGGAGTTAGTTTGTACACTGAGAGTGATTACAAAGAGTTATATTATCTCTTACAAGAGACATAGGATGACTTTAAATTGTGAAGTTGCAAGCTCAGGTATTTAAAAGGCACCAGGCTAGAAAAGACACACATGAAGCTATGTCACATGATAGCAATCTGCATAAATTATAACTAATAAAAATAGAAAAAGAATAGAATAGAATAGAATAGAATAGAATAGAATAGAATAGAATAGAAATTTCTAAGGATATGTAGTATCCCAACTAAAGCATACAGTAGAACAGGGCTGTCAAACTCCCAGCCCGTGGGCCGTCTGCATCACGCGATGGCCACGCCCACACCCACTTTAGCGAAGAGGAAAAGGTCCCAATACGTCACGTGATGCAGCCATGATGGCGTGAGTTTGACACCCCTGCAGTAGATGCTAGCCTTTAGTTCTATAACTTGTTCTTTCTATTTTTATGACACTAGGTAATACTGTCTGCCTAATAAACCCTTTTGTACCTAATCTCTGTTTTCTAAAATAAGTAACTTAACATGCCTTTCCCATTTACTTTTTCAGGTTGTGTGGAGGAAACTTGGAGATGCTGCAGGCTCGTGTCCTGGAATTAGACAGCACTTGTCTGGAAGCCAGTACAAAGGGCCAATGTGAATGACTGTCAAAACAAGGAAGGATTCCAAGTATCAGTGGACGTCACAGCAACCCTTTTAATAATAATGAGACAATGCCAAACACTTTCTAGGCCACTACTGGAAAATAGAAGAGTCTTTTCTTCATAGACTTTTGTGTGAAGTATCCAGATCTGCAACTAATATACTTCATTCTGCTTTTGCCACAAGCATTTTCAATACACACACACACAAACACACACACACGGATATAGCTAACAATCATCAAGGTTGTTTGCATTAATTCAGATGGAAAACTCTCAGAGAAAGTGCTTTTATAAAAAAAAAGGAAAAGAAAAGAAAAGAAAGAAATCAAGAGATTCTAATGAACTATGCTCTTGGTCTTCACAGTTTGAAAAAAAAAGTAGTCTTATATTTAATTGTATTAAATATTGAATAATGGTGAATAGCAAATCTGCAGCTGAAACCATTTTCTTTCCAGATGTTAGGATTAGTGCTAAATACCCCAAACCTTCAAGTCTTGCAAGAGCCAATACTGTAGCAAAAGAAAAACTATATATATAAGCACTAAAATTGTGATGCCTCATTGCTCTAAAAACATAGACCAAGAATCACTTTATTCTTATCCACTTTGGTGATTGCATTCTAAAGACCTGGTCTTTCTCTTATTAAAAGAAATATTCCCTCTGTAGCAAAGTGCAGCCAAGTCCTGAGGCACTCTTAGTAATCGGGCATCAAAAGCCTGTGCTGCTCTTTCAGGGTTGAAATAGATCCTTGAGCCACACTGAAGACAGGGTACCTGTAGTAATGCTCTGGAGACATGGTGCCTGGTAGCTGCAATTGTATCCATGGCTAAATCTTGATTGGAGATCTGCACATATACATCAAGGAGAATGCCGGAAGGGAGGGACTGTTTCCAGCGCTGTGGAGTGAACACTGCATCTATTTTCATTCTTTTTTAATAGATAGGGGATTGCTGATATCTAAAGAAAAAATAGCTCAGATATCAGACTTGTGTGCTTTTAATTTTAATGTACACATAAACCCACACAGAAAAACTTGAAAAGGGGAAAGTTGTGCTCTTGGAACATGGAGCTGCACGCTGTTTCTAATCAATTTGAATTAGAGACTGATGGAAATGGGATATTCATGATTGGCAGACAAGAATAGATGGATGTGCTGTGAAAATGGCAAACAAGACTAAGAAGCAATTCACCAAGAAAGCTTGAATGCTAATGATAGGAGTAGCTGTGGGGGTGACAGTTATAGATTGAGAGATAAAGCAGAAAATATAGACACTAGCACCAGAATGAAGGATACCCACTTCCAGAGAAATCACAAATAATTGGGAAAATGTTATGGATATAGGCTTCTCATCTCTCAGTTATAAATTCAAAATTAAGTTGAAAGTGAAGACTCTTCGAATGAGGCTTCAGCTTAAATTATGACTACACTAAAGAGAATAACAAACACAAGTCATTTAAGGAAAGGAAATCATTAAAAGTTACTCCAAAAGTTTAAAAGATGGCCATATCATTGACTTATGACTTTCAGTAACATTTTCTCAAATATCACAAATGTCCTTCCTTGGCCACTACTTTTAGGCTAAAAACCAACAGTTTATATAACTGACACAATTTCTGCAGGGTATCAAAAATAAATGAGTTATGTGTATCATGAATTGAACAGGACTTTACACAAAGCAAACTATCTGTTGGTAATACTTTCACTTTGGATGTACAATGTTTTGTGTATTTTTCAGAGCAGATGAAACAATAAGGTGAATTAGAAAGAGGAAAGGAGGTTTTGCTCCTGGGAAAGTGGATCAGAGAATAGTGTGAAATTGGGTAATGCTAAGAAAATATTTCAGGGAGCTCCTGGGTGTAAAACCTGGGCTAATCTTAGAGACAAATGACAAACCCATCATGACTATGATGGATGCTGAAATCATCTCACTTCCAAAAATCTGGCACTCAAAACTGAAGGCTGATATAGAAAACATTCCATGGCTTTAAGGATAATGCAGGAAAAAAAAATAATATTTTGACTCCGATAAATTAAAGACTGAGGAGGTTAAGGGTAGTTTACTGAACACTGAAATCCATACCATGGAACAGTAGCATAATAATCATAGAATTAGAGGAACCCATCATTTCTCTGGATAGTATTGTCAGATTGTTCTTGCTGCTAGGAAGGTTTTGTTTTGTTTTGTTTGATATTCAACTGAAATCTATTACCCTGCAACATAATCCTTTTTAATATCTCCTGATGATAAAGAACAGATCTTGGTCTTTTTTATATCTGTGAAATTGTTGAAAAACGTTATCATGAAAATGGTCATGAAAATTCAAGTTATTTATAAAAATGTTGAAAACATGGGCCTAGGACTAGACTCTGTGGCATCCCATTGGATTTTTTAAAAATGTGGATCATTAATGAATTAACTCTTTGAACACAGTTTTCAAGCAGTTGTGGATCACTTAATAAACACGACATAAACCCCATATTTGACAATTACAGTACCATGGTATCCAATATCAGTTGCTTTCTTGAAGTCAAGAAATACCTGCCTAGCATTTTTATTAATCTGGTAAGACTTTTTCCTGACAAATCAGTGGAAACTGATGCATTTTTAAGGTGCTTATAGATCCAGTAGTAGAGAATGATGGGTCCTTGGTTGTTTTTCTGCAGATGTTTCTGCAGATCTTAGTTTCTAGGTTAAATAATATCACCAGTGCATGGAAGAATAGTTTGCTGGTTACTTATGTATAGTAGCTTGCCCTCCTGGTCTTGATTGGACTGTAATTTCTTCCTTGATAACTTTAACAACAAAAAAATGACACCAGAACTAAGTCTGGCAGGGCAAACTATATAATTATCAGTAAACTGCAATTTCCCATGATTGATGATGTTACCTAGAAATATATGCAGGAAAACAACCAAGTTAAGAGAATACAAGAACCCAACAGCATTTGCGGATGATTGACTGATTATTTGTCCTAGAATCTTCCTAGGTATTCAAATCAAGCTATAGTTCCAGAGGTTCTCCTTTTTCATTTTTTTTTTTTGAAAAGAGGAATATATGCCCTTGTCTAGTCTACCAATTCAATGCAGTCTTCAGGATTCTGCATTTAATAGGCAACAGTTTAGCCAGACCAACAAGTTCTTTTCAGTACTCTGAAATACAGTTAATCCAACCTTGGAGATTTAGGTTTATAGTAGTCCTCAATTTACAGCCACAATTAGAACCAGAATTTTCATTGCTAACCAAGGCTATTGTTGTGAGTCATCCCTGATTTTGCTACCTTTTTTTTTTTTGCCACATTTAATAAGTGCTTGAATGAAAATGGCATACACAAACGTGTATACTTATGTTTGCTCCAGGATCAATTGTAGAGTACATCCAGACTGGATCTTTTGAGTCCCAGTATATATAATGATCCTGTTGCTACTGTTCATCAGCATTTGGAGACTAAGATTCTGCTGTGACTTGAGGAGCAATTGCCTCTTGCTCCCTTTTCTTTTGATACTGTGGACCATGCAGAGAACTAGACTTAGTGGAGTTCAAATTCATGTCATGTCCAGCTACTCAGGATATTGATAAGTATTAGAGTCTTTTGTGGAATCTATGGTCTTTGACACAAGTCCACATCATATTTGCTATGGAGAGAATGAGCAGCCAAAAGGCCTCTTCTCTAAAGAGAGCCTACAGGATGTAAATTTAAGTATAACCGAACTGTACATTGCACCACAAGTATAGTTCAGGATAGACTGCTGGATTCCATGGGCTCTAGAAATCCTATGAATCCAAGTGTTCTGGATGTGACAATTATGCTTCTAGTTTTTGTGAGTTCCTTTAGATAAGACACAAATAAAATTCTCCATTTGGGGGCTGAAGGTTGCTACACTATTTTAATCATCAGACCTCTGATAGACATAATTAAGATTAATTTTAGGTTGGATCCTGGATAATTTGAACCAAAGTATAACCTCTCTTTCCTGACTCATTTCTTATCTGATTATACTAATTTCCTATGTAGTAATTGTGCTCCAGTGTAATTGACGCTACAGCCGACCTTTAGGGTGATGCTCAACTCCTGCCACATGACATCATTTTTGTACCATGTAGAAATTTTGTGAAGTACCTTAAAATAATTAGCTACATTCAGTGCTCCTTATTTCATGAAATTGATTTCAGTAGCAATGCTGTTGCAGAGTCCTGCACCGAGCCCATACGTCATCACACTGAAATGGCTCATCGTAGTCTGTTGTTCAACAAATCCCTTGCCAGTTGCTTGTTTGCTGATGTGGGTTTTAGGATTGTGCTACTATAGATATTAAGCATTTGGAATCTTTAATCCAACCCTACAAGTCCCTTCTAAATGTCAGGGAGCTAGGTTCTTCGGTTTTATAAGATAATACTTGATTTCACAAATGTGTATGGCTAACAGAATAACACTGTATTTATTTGGGGTTCAGGAGAACTTTTCTTGCAGAGGTTCACATCCTTTTAGAGGAAATGTTGAGGATTCTTGAAAGCATGTCCTTCATTAATCTGAGGTTGAAAATGCTTTTTCATTTTGCTTGAGTTTTTGAAGATAAATGGGCTTACATTAAAATTTCCCTCCTATCCCCTCCACTGTATAATATTAGATTCTGTGTATTAAATGTCTGATAGCTATTTTGTGTATATATCAAAATGCAGTAATATTTGTATGAATGTGCAACAGGCTTGTGATTAAACGCTGTTGCTTTGACTTTTTAATCATACCTGAGTATTTAACGCAGCAATAGGAATGCAACAATTCCCAAGATTGGGATGATTAAGAGGGTTTAATTCAAAATTGATAGTGTCCTGTTTGTTTTCCTTTTTTCTTTTTCTCCGCTATTATGATGGTGGGTATTAGATGGCTCCAGCACTAATATAGTGCAGCCTTTTATCCTATAATAGAGTGGCATTAATCAGCCCCCTTTTTTCCAGGAAAAAAAGGTTATCAAAAATGTGCTTTAGTAATTCAATCAGATTTTTTTTTAATGTCATGCTAGCTAACACAGTTGTTTTTCATTATTTATATTAAAATTGTTATATTCCTATTATTACACGAGAACAATGAAAGCGAGAGACCCTCAAAGAATTTGTGCCCGTGGTCAAGGACTAGATCCAAAGAACAACTCTAGAGAGGTTTTAAGTATTTTTCTGGATCAATGGGATATTAAACTATTTTTCATTGAATAGCAGTCTCTTTTCCTAATGCTGTATCACAAAGTGTTTAAATATTCCATTCAGTCTAATAAACGGATTGCAACTGGCTACTTACTATTCAAGGAAGAAATGTCTAAGCTGTTCTTTTCCCTCATTGAGGGTTGGGAGCAAGTTTTGTTGTTTGATGGATCTTAGCCAAGTTCTGCAGGAGATAATTTGAGCGATGTTGGCCTTTTGACATAAGTATGTAAATTTTGATACTGTACTAAAACTATTTTTTTACAATTCATCATATAATGGGGATACCAAACATATGTGTTCATTTTAGCAATGGTAATAAAATATTTAATCTCAAAATCAATTGCCTGCTTTATTCTGAGGTTATGATCGGTTCTTTTGCACTGCACCTTTAAGCTGCTCCCATTTTATGATGCAGTTGGCTGAAGTCTAAGGCACTTTAGCAATAACAATAGCACTTAGACTTATGTATGGCTTCACAGGGCTTTAGAGCCCTTTAAGAACGTTTTCTTTGGACTGGGATGCTGGATGTTTAGTCCAGCCTAGCGGCTATTGTGGGTCCTCCATTAAATTTATTTCTGTAGCCTTTGGTGAGTTGTGGAGGACAACCCCATGCCGGTCCTCTAGAATTTCAGATTAGAAAAGAAAGCATCATTTTTAAAATTAGGAAGCGGTGGGTTTCCTTCTTGACTGTGGATCTCACCGAAGCAAAGATCAGCCATGCTTGACTTACAGCATGAGTCTCAAACTCAAATTACCATAAAGTTCACATGAAGTTCATTAGCCTGAGGTCACAACACTGAAGTCTTCTCCTAGACTGTTGTAAAATGAGTCAAAACTGAATGAGACTATAATGATATGCCATTCAACAACTTTATTAAACTGGAAAAAAGTAACCCAAAACACTACTGCAAAACTGCCACTTATTTTTAGTTAATTATCTGGCAGCAATTTTTGTTAACTGGAACAATATTTGTCTTGATGGCTATTGAATAACAACATTATCATTGACCTTTGAGGCATTGCACCAGGTTTCTGGATATGAGACTCTTCATTAAGTTGGGCTCCAGAGATCAGTTGGTATTGTTGTTAGACCAGCCTCCCTGCTGCATAATAACTTCCCTGCCTGAGCATCTTTATTCTATTTCTGAGTTTGCAGTGGAGTCTGGGGGATTTGGGGGGAGTTCAGTCTCCCTTCCCTAGAAATGGGTCTTATATAACTTGGGAGTTCATGACTACTATGGCAGCCATGGGCTTATCTCAGGTCATCCAGAATCCAATGTGGGACAATGGTTGTGTGACTTCAACTTGGAGAAGCTTTTGGTGTCTTCCTTGTCATGATCAGATTAGGCACTGATTTCCATGGGATTCTCTAGTGCACGGGTGTCAAACTCAATTGCATCACCTGATGTATCATGACATATCACAACATTTATTGCCTTTGTGGAGCTGGGATGGGCGTGGCCTGTGCGTGGCACATCCGGCCTGCAGGCCACCAGTTTGACACCCCTGCTCTAGTGCCACTAACCATTGCAGGGAGGTTGGACCTTTTAGATCGGTCCACCCATAGTGATCAATGGACAAGATTAGGTTTCAGAAGGAGCTGGGGGCTGATCCCATTGCTCTGATACATAGTCCATTCAAAGCCTTGGTTGCCACTTGAAATAAGGGGGCAGCTAAGGCTTTGGATCAGATTGTGCATATGATCCTCTCCCCTCTTGTGGATTCCATCACTCCATGTGGTTCATGGATGAACTGAGGTAGATGAAATGGAAGAACAGACATCTATAGCATCATTAGTGCTCAACCAGGAATGAACTTAACCAAACATGAGTTAAAGCCACCATTAAGGCTACCTTGTGGCAATAAAGGTGGCAAAGCAGCAGTACTTCACCCTTATTATCTGGCAAAGCAGCAGTACTTCACTCTTATTATCCACTTCCAGCTCCAATTCAGGTGACATGAGCTCTCTTGGATGAAACAAATTATTAGGATCCTTTTCAGTCAGGATTCAGATTTGGGTATGGGTTGGAAATGGAATTGGTTCAGTGGTGGGTTGCCCCCAGTTCGGAACAGTTCTATAGAACCGGTAGTAAAACTGGCGGGAGGCTCTGTCCACGAACCCTGACGTCATCAGAAAGCTTATGCGCATGAGTATGCGCGGCCCCATTATGAACTGGTAGTAAAGGTAAGTAGAACCCATCCCTGAATTGGTTGTCTTTTAAAGGGATGATCTCTGGCATAAGCAGGATTGGGAGAGTGTATCCATGTTGTCCCAACTTGACCTTACAGTGGCATCAACCAATCCTTCTGGATCAGCTCAGAGAATTGGGAGTGGGAAGAATGATATGCTGGTTCGCCTTTCTTTGGGGTTGATTTCAGTTGGTAATGATTGGGGAAAAGAGATCCTGCCCACAGCCCCTGCTATGTTAAGTGTAGCCAGGTTTGTTGCTCTATCCTTTCTTTTTAACATCTACATGGAGCCACTCAGTGAGATATCTTATCCTAGAGTCTACAGACTCTGAGGAACTGGATGGGAAATAACAGGCTTCAGATGAATTCTGGTAAGATTGAGTGTATGTGGGATTTTGGAGCCTACTGGTTCTAGAACTATGCTATCTTTGATGCTGGATGGGATCACATTGACCCAGACAGACTGAATGCACAATCTGGGATTCCTTCTTGACTCATTATTCCTTCTTGAAGATTAGGTGCAGTTGTGGCTCTTGCCTTTGAAGAGTATTCCAACACTTAAACTAATGTAGGGGAGGAGGAATATGCCTGCCACTAAATGAGGATGATAAGGGTGGACAGATGCATCTTCAAAATGACAGACATTTTACAAATAGGATATTAGTTTCTGCCAAGACAAGGTGGAAACTTCGATTTGATTATGGTTCAGAAAAATCCAAAGTCTGCTGGCTTTAGCTATGACTGCAGATAAGAGGAAAGCTGAATCATGTTGAGGTGTCCTTAAAGAATGATTAAAGGCTATTCTCCAACTGAATTTAGGGGACAGGTAGATAGGGTACAAATCTTACCCATCTCATTTGTCTATCACAGATGGAAAGTAGCCATTCTGGGGAAGAATCTGGAAACAGCATGGACAGTAACTGCCAGGAAGAGGGTAGAACTGGTCTATAGTGCAGCTCATTACTGGGTCAGGATCAGCCTGAAGGGAGATCATCCTGGCAAGGATCAGCCTAAAGGGAGAATTCTGTAGAGAATTAGCTGTTCAGCCTCAAATGATCCTTGTTTCTGCCATTTGGACAGGGAGCCTGTTTCCTCATTTTTATATTAAGGCATGGTGTCCCCCAAATCCTGATTGCCAATTTTGTTGATTACTTCTGCTTCCTGCTTTTCCTCTCCTTTTCTGCCAGCTAATGGTTGTGAATACAAGGAGGCCCTTAAATGACACTGAAAAGGAATTTAGAGGATGCTGATGAAAGGGAATGTCTGCTTTTCTCACCTCTCAGAAAAATAATTTGGAGTTCCAACCCAAGCCGGGGTTGCACAAGAATAAATAAAAATGAAATCCAGACAGCTGTGAGGAAAGGAGAATTGTTTATTCCCCCAAAGCAAAGAGGTTTCCCTTGGGGGCAGTTACAGAGAAAATGGAGTACAGAGACATTGTTTTATAGAGGAACTTTTCCTGGGTGTGGAAGTATGTATGTGCCGATTCTAGGGTGACACTTGAGGGGCATTGGTGTGTGTAGCTACATGCTATTATGAAGTTTATTCTTGTAAACATACAGTTCCACTGGGAAACCATTTTAATTAACTTGATTTGTTTTTACAGACCTTCTCCTTTGATATGTACATTAGGTTTGGGTAACTCATTTGGGGGTTTAAGGAAGTTTGAGTAAAAGATTTTCCCCCATTTTTGCTATTTTTACTTGATTAACTTAGTTTTAGTCTTAGTTAGACAGTTTTAGACTGTCAATTATCCAACCGAGATGCTGATTTTCAGTCCATTGTGGATTCTGTTAATGTTTAAGAGAAGATGAAGACAGTATAAAGAATATAATATATTTTGCTATAAAGCTCCACACACACCCTACCACAGCTTCCTTCTGCCCATCCCAGACAGCAGGGTGGGTGATAAAGCTGAGGCTTTTCAGGGCCTCCTGGCAATCTTCAGCCATTAATTGGAGTGCAAGTAAATGGACTTTTTGGGAAAAAGTAGAAGCTGAAACCCAACAATTTGACCAGAAAAAAAATGTATCTCCTGAAACAAATAAGGCTAACATCATTTGACTATTTCTGCTGCACCTCTGCCGGCTGTGCAAGTAGCAAATTGAAAATCCTGGGCCTAAATCAGGGATGTCAAACTCACGTCGTCACAGTGGCATCACATGATGTATCAGGACTTTGTCCCCCTTCACTAAATGGCATGGGCGTGGCCAGCGTGTGATGCATCTGGCCTGTGAGCCAGGAGTTTGACAGCCCTGACCTAAGCTGTGAAGGTTTTTTGTAGAGTGAGGTTGGAGATATGACTACAGCTGATCCTCAGACTGCCTAGTTTGATCATGGAGATACACTTTCTTCTGAACTGGAGATCTGTAGTACTTGGCTGAGATTTGCAAGTTGATACCTTATATCCAGTCTATATTCTCCTACATGTTAGGGAGGCATGTGCCATGCAAAATAATAATACTGGGTTTTATGGGCTACATGTCTGAGATACTTTTTCTATAGAATAGTTTTTCTTTGCTCTAAAATCCTATTCTGTGCTACTGACTCCTTAATGTGACTGTTTCATTTAGTGAAGCTTATCAGTTGTTAGAAAACTGACTTTAAATCTGAAGGAAGTTCTGCTGTGTGTCAGACACTTATTGCTTCTGTCCATGTATTTATACCAAAAGCAACTATAGAAAGTTACCCACCCTTGGAGAAAATATTTGGGCCACATGCCAATTAGTAGGTGAGATTGAAATAAGTACCATGTGAATAAAAAAAAAAGAAGAAAAGTAAAATCATCTAATTTACCCATTAACATCTCCTACTTTGTGTCTTAGATGTCTAATTATCTCTGATTTCCCTAGGCAACAGGCTGCTAGGAAAGGCTCATATATCATTCTCAATTGAGGTCTCAATTTATTGAAGATGGGTTTTGAAAACAGGTTAAGGGTCACATAAAATTAGGTCAAGACAATATTAGACTCAGAATCAAAGGTTGTGAATAGTGGTTTATATTGACATACCAGCTGATACACTGGGATAGTTAAAATAAGTCCATAACTGAAATATGCATGTTTGTGTGAGTCTGTGTATGTGGGAAATTAATTTCAAAGAAGGCCTTTGAACCAGCAAGGGTGTTGATTCTGATGACAAGTCTTAATT